CAATAATGTAGTGTCATCTGCATAAATAAAAATTTTTGCAGTTTTATCTATGTTTATGATATCGTTCAAATAGACATTAAACAATGAACGGACTGATAATGTTTTCTTATTGCACACCTGTTAAATTAGTTTTCCATTGGAACAATGACCTCTAGTTGCACAAATTATTTTTGATTGAGTAAATACGACATGAAGAGCATCCATGTTCCAATATTTTACAGGAAAACAATACCTATAAAGTTTCATTAATTATTGAGCATGATTTGAGTAATCGGAAGCTTTCTTGAAATTCATCAAAATGCCAAAATTTCATTATCTTGTTTTCAAACAAGTTCAAAATAAAGTATTTCTGTTCCAAAAGAGCATGTTCTGTTGACCGATGATTTTCCGAAAGAAAAACAACATATTGGGCTGCTTTAAGTGTAGAATGCCTATCGCAGAAATTAGGCATTCTGGAAAGGCTAACACTCTTTAGTCCCTTTGAAAAAAAAGAAAGGTAGTTTTGCACGCTTTTTAGTTGATTTAAATCAACCCAGGTCTGTAGTTTCCCATGTCGTTTTGGTTCGTCTTCGAGCTGCATTCGCTTAGGGAAGGTTCCTTTTGATAAGCAGATGCTGAATTAATAAGTTAAACATGGCGATATCAAATTTAAAACATATTTCACTGACTTAATTATTATACGTCTGCATCGCAGCTTCCACAGTTATTCAATTAGAAAAAACAGTTCAGATTTCACATCAGTATCATGGCTCAGAAATAGATTTCTCAAACCCATGTTTCATATAATTAAAGGCATTACTGTTAAAACCGTCCCTATAGGAGGTATTCACTGGACGCCATATTTGAGGGCGATGTTTAGAGCGCATGCTCAGAACGAGCTCACATTAATAGCCTGCTAAGACCGGCAACCTTGATGGTGCTAAATGCACGCTCCAAATGGACTGCGGAAGCTCGCCGTCAGCACGCACTCAGCAGCAGCGTACACGGATATGGCCGCCTGTGAGTGGTTCTTGAATTCATTAAGTTATCGAATTAAGCAGATAGCCTGGCACGCGATATTGGAGAAACGAATATTTCGGTGACTTAAAACGTAACGTAGGAAAAGGGTTCCGTGTGAAGCAGTTTTCAGCTTAGACTGTGCATGAAAGAAAGCATGCCGAGCCTGGGGGCGGTAGCCCTCGAAACTCGACTTCACGTGCCACTCCGCTCGTGGGCTAGCTTTGGCGGTGCTTTCTTTCACACAGTCTTAGCCGAGACGTTGATGCCAAGAAGCCGGCCCAGATTTCATCGTTACGCTTTCGCATTTCTTGATGAATCTCACGAACGTCCGTAGAACTGTAGCTCTCACATTTCGAATTCTGGCGTGCCAAATTCAATATGTATTTATGTCGTGTTTCTGTTCTGTGCGACTTAGCTGCCCAAGATTGCTTACGAAGCCTATATCAAAACAAGCGCAAAGGAGTTAAAACAAATATTTTATCGGGTCAAGGACGCTGAAGCCTCAAGCTGCACTTTTGTTTGGTTGAACTTTCTTTTCTTTTTCTTTTTTCAAACGCTTGGTCACAGTGAGAGGAGAGACGCTGGCACGGGCTCGTATTCGACCTTGACTCGTGCCTGATCGGACGCCACAGCGCGGCCGCGTCCTGGCCTGGCCTTGGGAGATAACCAGCGTTCCATGGTCGCGTTTCGTGGACGGGCTTACGCCCCCTGGCCAAGAGAAACGCTCCTAGAACAAAAGTGCGTCCAGGTCTGACGGGGTAAAGCAGCATTTAAGGGGACGTGGCGAGGCAGCAGCGGAATGAACTGGATCACGCGCCATATTCGGCCAATAAAAGGGCTTGGAAACGCGCGTGGTTCTTCCAACTTGGCGACGGCAGTGCAAACTTTCAAGAAATTTTAGGGCAGGCCCGTTTGGAAATTGTTTTTGCTGGAGTGAGAACAACGACGCATAAACCAGACGGACTGACGACATCACGAGCCTGCACGGTCGATCAGTGCAGAAGGTGACACAGAACGATGCAGCACCGAGAGTTGGGAACACCCGACACCAAAGCAACGTGGGCAGGAATATCAAAGCGAGACCGAAGTTTTTAGACGCAGCTGAGGAGATCTAATGTTTTAACCGTGACCAAATGTTATATTTCATGCGAAATATTTCGGTAAAAGGCATTTTCCAAAATTAAAATTAAAATGCCAAGCTCGTTTCACGTTTTCTTTTTTTTGTTTTGTTTTTTACGGGCCAAATTGGTCATTGTCTTTAGATAAAACCCATACCAAAATACGATTCGGTGAATGCAAGCTGCGTATGAATTATTTTAATTCAAATGCCACTTTAGTAGAAGGACATGCATATTCTAGAAAGATTTTTATTCTTTAGTTTCATTAAATGCAACGGCATATACTACGATATAATCAGAGCCTATACGCCATCGAATGTTCTCTGACGCTTTGGTTTTAGCGTTAGCCACTCGTAACTCAGTTTTGCTCCAGCTGCATATTTTGCGTGACATTAGCATTGTTAGTAACCCTGACGCGATGTTTTCCTTGAATTCGGAAAAACCACGTTAAAAAACAAACCAGGGCAAAATAAAAAAAAAAGAAGTCAAAATCGGGTGGATCATTTATTTCACGATTCCGTAAGAATATATGAATCAGTTGCACGAATGAATAGTTTAGTTAGCTTGTGTTCCCTGTTCTTTAAGTGGAACTGAATGCTTTATTTGGAAATAAAAAAAAAAATGCTCGCCCGATCCTTTATTAATCTGTGTGCCAAAGGAATTGTTTTTCTAACTTTTACGTACCTTATGCTCCTGTCAGAAAAAGAATCCCCGATTACAGGTGAAAAAGATTCCTGAATACCTATGAAAACAAAACCCCGAATGCAGCCTCAACTGTTTTGTGAGCGCGCTAAAAGGCGGTCTTTTTCGTATCAGGTAATACGTCGTCAACAACTTTACCCTGTTGATTATACACCATGAGTTCAAAAAATAAAAGACGTTTACAAATCTCTGTAATCCGAAATTAGAGCCCAGTTCTTGAGGAGGAGCAGGAGGGGAGGGTACATAGGGAAGGGTATGCCCTTCCTCCTCCTCCTCCCACAGTTTCCCCACTAAATTTAGCTAAAAAATTTAGCCAGAGGACCTCAACAGCAGTTCAATTTCCCGCTCAATTTAACGTGGAATTGTATTGCTGTTGAAGTCACGTGACGTCAATTTTCTCGCTAAATATAGCGGAGAGACTGAATTTGCTCATAGGTGATGTGACACCAAGCCATGTGACGTCATTTTCCCCGCTAAATTTAGCGGGGAATTGAATTAATGTTGATGGCACGCGACGTCAATTTTCCCGCTAAATTCAGCGCGGTTACGCCAGCGGCGACGCCGACGCCGCGAAACCCGGAAACAGGCGCCTAAGAGTTTCGCTCTAAAAATAGTCCCTGGCTCGTTGGCAGCTCAACGACGGAGATTATGCGGGTAGAAACTCTGGGAGAGGGGGAAATGAGAGCGCGCGGGGACATCGAAACACCGAGCTTTTTGTTTTCTTTTTTTCTGAAGAGTTATGGGGTGGGCTTAAAGCTAGCTGCTTTTTTTCTTATAATCAATTTTTGAAAGCATTCGAAAGCCGAACGGCGGTGCCCGGCAAGAGCTGGGTGATCCGATGTCCCCGCGCGCTGATTTCCTCTCCTTCTCTCCCGCAATTTCTACACGTACGCCATTCCTTAAATATAGCGAAATCAACGGAAGACGGTGAGGGTTCAATCCCCACCCCTGCCGGCTTCGACCTGGATGGGCATAGCACCGGCGTGCGGTCGAGTATCACTACTGCGTGGTGCACGTTAAAGAGCCCAGGCTAGCGGTTGTGCTGCACTGGCTATATTGCTCATCTACAGTGGGTAACAATGTCGCCATGCTCGGACAGACTAACCTACCCCTCTATATACAAGTAACAACTAATTACTTTAAGGAAACGGTGGATAGAAATGTTACAGATAATGCTTAAGGTTACAACAAGAACATTTGACAGAAATCTGTATCTTTGGGAGAACAATAATATAAATGTCACTAAAAACCACATTATTATCAATTGATTTATTAATAATTATTTCAGTACATCAAAAGGCTCCTCAACCCGGTGTAAAACGAATAAAAAACCCAAAGAAGCCCTAGTTATTCGCAACTCCACAGGAGGCGCGACGCCACCCAACGGAAAAGACGTGAAGGAGAGAAGCAGGAAGATACCGCGTATCGAAGTACGTAGAGAACCTGTATTACATAGAGTTTCCAACTGCTCGATGAGCGCCACATGGGTTATGTTTATGGGCCGCGTTTGCAAAACGAGGTGCGAGGAGGAGGCGAAAGCAACCACCGTCTGCTAACGTCTCCTCCTTTCCACCTGCTTTCCTCCTCGCCACAAGACAACGCAGCGCATGCGTACTTCCAACCAATTTCCGCGCAAGGCGTCCACCATTCTATTGCAAACGTTCCTCGTGGTTTGAAATGGGACCTCAGTTCAATCTAGGCTCTCTAGAGGTATGCAGCAAAAACTCGAGACGCCTCGTGGCAGAATCGTGAAACTCATAGAAGGGAATTCAATGCACGCTGCTGGAGTCCCGATTAATATACCTAACCCTGGATATCAATGCCTGAACGCATGCACTAAAATAAGAGTTCCAACTGAACAACAAGCATCGCAATGCGTCCCGGGAATATTTTTAAATGACAGTCTTAGAATATCAATAAGCAGTTATCATACTTTTGGACAAGTATACTTTTAATTCCACGGCTCTACAATTTTTGTGGCATCGAGTATATAGGCCAGATTCACAAAATTATCAATTGCTGCTTTTCTTGACAAAAGATTCTTATATTCCCCAGGAGTGCAATTGCCTGGTTATCATAGAACGCAAATCGATTCCAATTTTCATACTTCCTCGAAATGTTTTTATTCCACGGGATACTCCAGAAAGTGGACCATGACGCGTGTGTTTCGGCAATTCTCACCCTGCCTGATGCTGTTGTCGAGAAGCAGGGGCTGCCCTTCCCAGCGCAGCGGCTCTCCCCGCGCGTCCCAGGTGACGTTGATGTATCCCATGTACTTGCCCAGCCAGAAGTCCTGGACCACGAGGCAGCGCGTGCCGTCGGCCCGCTTCACCACCACCGGGTATGGACCCTGGGGTGCGTTGCCCGAGATCTTGCCTAAGCCGGAAAACAGCGAGGAGTCACTTCATTGTGCAGCATTGTCGGGACCGCGGCCCGCAATACGGCCACGAGATTTGGCTAACTCATGCTGCGACAAAGAAAGGAACGGAGCTTTAATTTAGCTTAGCTTTCGAAGACACCAAAGTTGCAGGATATACCTTGCAAGAGTCTTCGTGCTATTTATTTATTTATGAACACTGTTCACACCTAAGCGAGGTTGTGACAGGTGTAGGGTGCAAGTTCACGATCATAGTGAATTAAAGGGACCATGAAGGCAATTTAATTTTTTTTTTTTTTAAAAGAAGGTGTTTTCGGAAGCATTGGGGTCCTGGCATGCCACACAATTTTTTCTAGAACGTTGTGACTCTTATTTCTGTACCTGCAAATAAATTTGCGAAACCGAAACAAACATTCCGATTTTTTCCCTTTTTCGCCTCTGGAAAGAGAAGTGACGTCAGGGAGCACTATCGGCATCGGTAGGATTTAGTGCACACTCAGCGTGGTTTCCGTGGTTCGCTCTAGTGCACTGCGGTCTGTGGAGAAAACCTGGAAGAAATGGACGACAACGCCGCGCTCGCAAACGAGTTTGAGGTCCCGTTCAGCGACCTCACGCCGACTGAACGGGAGAGGCTGCTAAAGACGCCAAACCAGACTTGTACCGTACGCATTACAAGTAATCAAATTACTTGTAATCGATTACTTTTTGGAGTAATTTTGTAATCAGTTGATTACTTTTATTAGGCAGTAATCACACGAGTAATCTGATTACTTTTTGAAGTAAAAAAATTACTTGTAACCATTACAATTTGTCCACGGGACCCCCCCCCCGGCACACGCCTTTTTTTATGAAAGGACAAAAATAAAATTTGCTTTTTTTTTTTCGAACGGAAAAAAGAAAGATTCTTGTGGAGCTGTAGAAAACGAGGCCAATCTCTTTCTATGTACAGTTTCTGTAGAATGTCCGTTTGTTTTTTGTTTTTTTTTTCGAGCAGGGACTGCGAGTGGGAAGCCCCAGGGAAGCCACAGTGCGTGACAAAGGCCATTCAGGGCGAAGTTTGAGGAAGCAGAATGTAGCTTTGTGAGTCCTTCGTTCAAACTAGCCCCCTCACGCACATACACACACATAAATAAAAAAATTAAAAAACTCCTGCTTAGGGTACCTACTCGCAGCCCGTAGGAGAACCAGAACCGAAGAGTGCATAAAGCGGATGCAAAATATAACAAAGGCAGTTGAAATATTTCCCCACTTCCCCTACATGGTCTTTGTGACAAGCAATGTTTCGAGTTGAGTAGTGGTCGGGGCGATCTCTTCCGCTAATCGATACTACACATGATCCGTTTCAAATCCTGGGGCTGCTGCTCTTTTGTATAACATCCACATGTGAATAATAAAATGAGCGACGCAAACTTTGAGCGACAAGCCTTGCTCAAGCTTAACAAGATCTAGAACCCCCTCCGCTCCCCCCCCCCCCCCCCCCCCGCACACACACACACACTGGCGAACGCCCAAATCATTAAACGTCTTCAAACGAATTTTATGCTTGTGTCCGCATTGTGAAGGTGCAACGACCACGAAGAGGGAGCCAGTTTTTCTTCTTCAATACTTGTGCAAATGTGAAATATAGGTTGGAAGTAGTTCATTGTTATGAGCGCTAAAGATGTGTCTTCACACAATAAAGTAATCGGAAAAGTAACGATTACTTCTTTAAGTAATGTTCCTTTACTTTCGCTGTCGAATAATCAAGTAATCTAATCGAATACTTTTTAGCCAAGAGTAATAGTAATTGTAATCGATTACTTTTCTTTTGTAACGTGTACAAGACTGCGCCAAACCCTGGATTGGCGCTTTACGAGGGCGCCCTGGACATACCACCAACTCCTCGGTCGCCGCCTCCAGAGCGACTCCCCGCCCCACTTTTACCGAGACTCCGGCTGACGTGAAGGTGCTGCTCAAAGTCTTCTGGTCGGAAATGCAACGAACAAATCCTGACACCGCTGTCTATAACTCTACGCAAGACGACGGCGCGCAACCAAATGCTGCGCATTGCTGCATCGGTCGGCAGTTTATGCAAACTAACGTCGCCCGATCGACCGCACGTCTTTAGCCGACCTTTCGCGCAACCTACTACTGCACATAAACGCGGCATGATTGGTGAGACACCAGTTCGCAAAGCGAACACGAGACGACGCACGAAACCAAAACCAAAAGTCCGCCGCCCCCGGCGCTCGTACCTTTCTCTTTTTTTTTTTGTCCATGGTTGGTCGATGCTTTTTACGCGGCCGAGGTAGCAGTACGGGATGCGTTCAACCAGTGACAAACGGAGGGATCGCTTCAGATTATGCTTTTATACACGGTATGAAACCTATTAATTCCCAACTACAACTTCAAAAGATTATCCAACGTTCAAATAAAATGTTTTCATCACATCTCACCACCGAAATCGAAACCAAGAGCGCGTCTATCATTTGAACCAATCGCCAGACGAGGAGCCCGTTGTCGTCACGCTTCGGCGCACTTTAGTTCACCTTTCTGCCGCCGCCTCGGTGGGGTCTCAGGCATCGTTCCCGGCGCTCTTATTACCGCGCCTGTTTGCTCGATTGGTGCGGCACCCAAACTTCTGTTCGGGCTAGAACTTGGTCAACAGTATCTGAGACGTGCCTGCCATCCATTTCAATCGTCGAATAAAACTTCGAAACTGCCTTCATGGTCCCTTTAACGTCCTCGGTGTATTTGGGGGTTTAAATGGGCGTAAGCAAAGCGGATGGAAATATGAGTATATTTCGATGATTTGTGGGAATTGCTATTACTAATCACTTATACCCGTGCCACACGGGCAACTCGAATGCAATTCACAACGAATGACATTTGAACGATCGGTCAATCAGCGCGCGACACTCCGAGCGTGAGGCGTTCCACGCGCGACAGATTACGAGTCGATTCGTTGATCACACGAATGTCATTCGTTGTAAATGGCATTCGAGTTGCCGGTGTGGCACGGGTATTAGTTTCGGGACGTGAGTGGGGTGCGCGAGCGCCGAGGACGCGGGCGCCGCCTACTTTAGGATTTTACCGGGCGAGCTTCGAGGAAAAAAAAAAAAAGGATAAACTGGAAGCCGCGCGCGGGTGGTTGGTCGAACCCCGAGCAAGGCTTCGGCGGTGTGGCGGCTCTCAGCAAGCCTTCGGCGGTGTGGTCGGTCAGCCTCGAGCAAGTCTTCGACGGTCCGTGTGTTCTTGTGAGTGGGCGCTGTTCGGCACTCTAAACACTCAAGCCACTACTATTTCTCGACCCCGACTGCGCACTGAACCGGACTACCACCGACATCTTGGGACTCTGATTCGAGTACCCTCCTCCTCCGAACTGTATTTCGGCTTCGATTTGACTTTTGTTCCTTTTCTTACGCTTTCGAAACCTTGGGCTCTTTCTTGTTGCGGTTACGAAGCGCGGAACGTTCTCAAGATATGCTCTATTTTTTTTTTTTTTCACCGAGTGTGTGCTCACCCCGTGCACGTTTTGTTACTTTTGAATTACGTTGCTGTTAAGTGGTGTTCGTAACGCCAGGCACGACTCGCTCTCAATTCCTACCACCTTTCTGGAAGTCCATCGCCAAGGTGTGGCCCTAGCAGCTGGACAGCGGTCCAATTCAAATCCCAAATTAGTTTGTTTATGGGATCTTTCCCACCCGAACCTGTGAGAGCCTGCGATTGGTGATTTTAGTAACCTAAAGGAGCCCTGCTCGCTAAGCGAAATAGAGGACCGAAAGAGATCGGTGTCACCGTTAGCCACGCGAAACGCGTTACATTCCTTGCGCTGCAGCGTAAACAATTTCGATTTCAAAGCAAACAACTTTCGGACTGTAAATTTCTTCTAGTCAGTGCGCACGAGACCTCGGAAGCGCGTCCTTGGTGGACCGCCTGTGAACGGCCAAGATATTCACCAATACCAAAAAAAGATTATGTCTATCTCCAATGCCTGGTTGCTGAAAGGGAAAAGCATGGATTTCATCGACGATTATCTCGAAGTACATTAGCGCCTCTAAAGAGGTTTAAATCGTTTTAATCGATATACATAACTGGCGTCCATTCTCAAAGGCAACGTGGCCCATCGAACTAATAATTAAAAGCTAATGAACGAATTTTATGTAATTATTTTCACGATTATCCCCTTGTATTTTACCCCTGCCGTATAATCACTTGCACATACCGTAATTAGATTTCGGGGATTTCCTTAGAAAAATGTGTTCGGGCTGAAAAAAAAAAAAAAAAGAAACCGTTTCAAATGGACGCGGTCTCTTGAATGAGTTCATTCTGCTGATGGACCACGCCAGAAGGCGCTACTCACCTCCCGTGGTGGGCCCGGAGTAGAGGAATGTGTGCGTGTGTCCACCCACCACGAGGCTGACCTCCGGCACAGCCTCGGCAATCTCCTTGTCCTTGGGCAGACCGGAGTGTCCCATAGCGATGATGACCTTGACCCCTTGGGCGCGGAGCTTTCTGGCCTCCCTTCGGACGCACTCCACTTCGTCCGTGAAGCGAATCTTGCCTGGAGGGACACGTGCAGAAGACATAGTACATGAGTGAAATCCTTAATATGTGTTTTATATTATTCACAGCGATGCCATAAAGCTATTAGGTTTCCTAGCTCTTTCAATGTATTCTTATGTATAAAAATTGCTGCGTAATCTGTGTGCATTATACAATCGGTCCCACCATTCTTTACCTTACTGCTCGAGTCTAGGGCTCACGCTACCCCATTCTTCCTGTTTTTTTTTATTATGCCGGTAAACTGATAATACACAATTGGTTGAGACGCTAAGCCTACCCCCTTACTAGAGGCCTAGTATGCGAATAATCTAAGGGTTTTATGTTCATCTCCGCAAGCGTGGCATAAGAAAACCGGCTGCAGCATCTCGCGCAAAGCAATTGTGTGACTGGGCCAAGATTCTTTGTCGTGTGTTTGCTTCTTGGACTCTAGCACTTGCGATGTAGTACGCAAAGCATTCAACTACAAAAAACAATAAGCAAACGGTTTATGTTTAGACCTACCCACAGAACCTATTACCCCGTTAATTCTACGTTTATGTTCACTGCTGCTCCAGAACAAAAGTTAGGTACTGGCCTAGAGAAATATTCGAGACTGGAAACGCACTGCTACCCTTCCAAGAGTCACGAAACTTGTGCTATACTCTGCACTCTGATTGCGATGGGAGCTACGCGCTCTGAATGACCGCTTCAACGGGCTCGTAGCTTCCACCGCTCTGAGAGACATCTTTCGTCAGTAAAACTTAGCAAAATAAGCAATACAAAAAAAAAAAAAAGGGCTGCAGTTGGCCATTTACGGAAGGGCTATCCTGCTGGCCGTTTTAGTAGGTGTTTTTTCCTTACGTTTTCGTCAATGGCAATTTGTTTTGTGGCATTGATGAACACGCGGTGAAACTGTATATTCTGAAAGCTTTTATCGTAAACAAAAATAAATTTCCCGCGCTTAACTGAGAGATGGTGATTTCGCGATCGGAGGTATTGCGACATATTCTTGCTATGGCTTCACAAAGCTGCCTCGTATTTGGCAAATACGAGGCAGCTTTACCTAAGCATCTACCTACATATTGTGTACCTCACTGAAGTGTTGACAGTGAGTCGAATGTGAATCTTTGCCTGTGCACAAAGATTTGAAGTAAACAAAAATCGCTTTACACCGACACTCAGGACAACAAACATGGCCCTATTAGTTTATAAAGGTATCTTTAAATTCATTGTAAATGAATGACTAAACCCGTTCGAATGTTGACGATCCTGTCGAACTCATTTCATTCATGCTGAACGGATAAAAGTACTAGACAAATAAGCCGAATATATATAAGACGATTAAGAATATAAGACGAATAAGTAAAAGCCAAATATTTTACAGCGCTTCTCCTGTCCTGCCCTCGCTTCCTTTTTCTTTTGCGCTAATATTTTTATGGTGTTCAACCAACTAGGCGATCAACGTACTTTGTTTCAAAATATTTCCACTGCTCCTGCCACTAAAACGCAGCAAAATTAATTTTACCGTTGATTTTAAGATGTGCATCGATGCGCCCGTTCACGTAAAATATATGGCAAAATCGTAGCATTAATTTAATTTGAGGGTGAACCAAAAGTCAATATCACAACGAATTGTCACGACAGAACATCTCAAGTGCTTATTTTACAACATCCCTTCCTTTCTGGAAGATCCTATACAGGGTTTTCCGACTTCCTTGAAAAACTTGCCTTTGTCATCTGAGTGCTGGGCACAGTTAAATAAAGAATCAACTTCCGTTAAACATTTTTAGAGCGCCCTTAAAAAAATGGCAACTGCGCTCACAAGGCAACAAATTGCAAAAAAAAAAGAAGAAGAAAACCCCGCCAACTGCAATCATCACAACTGCACCTCCGTCGACTGAAAGGCGGCGACGTGGCTTTGCTTCGCGTGTGTTCCTTGAAAGCGTCTGTTGTTTCCAGGCACAAAGCAGGTCTCAAAAGGCCTTCTGAAGGGCGTCCGTATCTGTGCATGAGTTAAAGTGCAAAAAGTTGTGCACAGCCCTAAATTAGCTTTAGGCGTACATGTCCTGTTTCCCTTCTCTGTGTCCCTGTATTTTTCGGCGCTGTTTTTTTTTTTTCGTTTGCAATGGACGAATTGGCCCAAATCTCCATTTTAATGAGAAGTTATTTAGAAAAGGCTATGCGAACCTTCGATGACGGCTGTTGCATTCCATTTTAGAAACCATAGGAAAAGCGCTTTGAAAAGATTTTGTATTCTGCGACTGTTTGAAATGGTACGATGAAAACACTAAAAACAAAATGAGCAAATTGTGAGCTTGAGAAATGAAAGTCACTAAAAGAGACCGCCAAAGTCGTTGATTTCGAGATATTATAACCTATTTAATCCGGTATGTGTGAAAGGCATTAATATAAGATTAATATTTAATACGTTCGTAATAAACCACGACTAGGTCAAATTACGTGCAAACACGAGCGATTTAGCAATTAATACGCGCCTTTTATTGTACTGTGCTGGCCAAAAACCATCGGTTTTGATAATAAACTGACATTCAAATGCTCACGAACTAAATCTGGCATCGTAATAGCTAACATACACGATCACTTTAGTATATATTTCAGTATAAAAAAATCGTTTGTGGCCAATAAACTAATTAGAACATAACGCCAAATAGCTTACACGACTTTAGACTTCAATGATCGTATCTGAACTGAAGCGGTGTTCTTCAAAGAGCGGATGCTGATAAAGCTTATAAATGTTTATGACTAAGTTTTAAAAACTTTAGTCAAGCTGCTTTCCCTCTACTTTGAGAGGCGCCTCTGGAAAAGGTTATAAACTATATATATATATGGATCACGAAAGAATTACTTACAACATAAACACAAAACCTACTTTATATAAAGTATTTGTAAAACAGGAGATTCAGAATCTTACCATTCTTAGACGTTATCGAAACCAACTAAAAAAAAAAAACTTTAAAACGTTAGATGAAAATATTTTTGCAATTTTTATCTGGTTCGTGGTAAAATATCCAATGCTGTATGGAGAAGACTAGTCTGTTTTAACCCGCACATCGTCTCCAAAGTGAAAAATGTCATTGATATAATTTCCCGTTGCTTGACGCATATAAATGTGGTGTTTCCCAGACGAATGCAACTGGCAAAAGTAAGAGTTTTATATAAGAAAGGTAACAAAAATGACATTGGCAACTACAGACATGTTTCAATCTTGCCAATGCATTCTAAAGGTCTTTAAAAAAAAACTTATTTGAATTAAAGCCTTTTTAAATCATCATAGCTTAAATTCTTCTTAATTAGGATTTCGCAAAAAGAAAAATCCATCGAACGTGCTGGTCTTACACAAAAATAAAATATTCGAAGACATGTTGAAAATAAAAGAGATAATCTTTGGTTCATTCATGATTTTACAAAAGCCTTTGACTATCTTGATCATATTTGCTGAATAAAAAATAAATATGTAGAGATTTTGTGGTCAATAGTCACTGCTCATTAGCTCGTACTTGTCTTCGCATTGGAAATATGTTCATATAAAAGGTCATAGGTTTGTAATGAAAGCAATTGAATCAGACGTTCTTCAAGAGAGTAATCAGGGGACTTTTTTATTGAATCTTTATATAAATGACATTGCCAACATAAGCAAATCAACGAATGTGATTATTTGTGTCGGTCATACCAGTTTACTGTTCACTGGTGATAGCGCTCAGAACTCACAGATAATGCGACACTAGAAATATTAGACAAATGGACAAGTCCAATGCTTTAAAAACAAATGTGAATATAATGCTAAGGCAGTTCCTTTTCGACCGAAGAATATATATGTTAGTATAAGCAATGACATCCTTTTGAATTATTTTAAAATTGAATTAAATGTACTTTTCTCACAGAAATATTATGGAATGGTCATATAAAGTACAGCACATCCAAACTGTCCAGCATAATTGGCCAGATATATCGCCACAAACATATCGTTTGTCTCCCAGAACATAGTTGTTAGTATATGACTCACTGTTTTATTCATATATAAACAATTGTCATTTAGTACGTGGTATGACTGCTCAGTATTCCCACAAAAAAAGAAAAGAAAAAGAAAGTACGGAGGTGTATTGCATTGTTTGAGTCGACTATCCAACGGATGTTGTTTTGATTCATACTGTTGTCGCCTATGCTTAAAATATAAGAGAGAATTGCACATGCAAACGAATCATTTTGTAGACTTAGTTGCTCTAGCAATAAAAGTACATTTATACCTAACACGTGTTACAAAACCCTGGTCAATAGCTTCTTTTATAACAAATTACATTAATCAAACTACAGCGTACACCCTCCCGACCAATTTTAATAAACTTAGTCCACAACAACTAAAACTTTCCACACTGTCGCTAAGCGGATCGAATTGATTTTCTTTAACCGAATTGCGTGCATTTTAACAGTTACTGTTCTTCCCTATGCTTTCGTTTTCGTTTGCGTCCTAGTTACTATAGTTTATTAATGTAGTCTGTTGGTGCTTCCTTGTATTGCGCCTTCTTTCCAAATATTATTTTAAGATTGTGTGAGTGCTTTTTGTGTATAGTATATTTCTTTCTTACATTAATTTTATTTTTAGTTGTATCTCGATATCTAAGTTTCATTTACGAGGCTCTGCTTCTGTGTCTTGGGTCTTGGGGCTATTCAAGCTGTTTCAAAGGCTTTTCCCCAGTCTCCACCCAAAAGGTATTACTTTTGTTGAAAAAAAACAATATTATATTTAAATATTAATATTATTATATACTTAACGCCGATATACTAGTCAGATGAAGCATTGCATTGCCATTAATGCCATCTATCCAACGCCGGCAAACTCAATGTGCATTCATAACAAATTAAAAATTGATTGTAACTATAGTCTAGATCAGGGTTCTTCAAACCCCGTCCCGCGGGCCAAATTCGGCCCGCGGACGTCTTCTGACCGGCCCGTGACTGGCCGCGGTTTCTCCAATGAAGCCCGGCCTGCAGGCCGCTCCCAGAAAGCGCACTGCTACTAACTCTAACACATTTGATGCGGAATGCGGGGGCGTTTCTTTTTTTCGCACAATAATGTTTACGAAGATACAAACAAAAAAGAAGTTTACAAATATTTTTAACGCGAAATTAGAGCGCAGCTCTTGAGGAGGAGGAGGTGAGGGTAGGAGGGGATAGTATGCCCCTCCCTCCTCCTCCGCACAATTCAAGTTTGTGTTGAGGTCACGTGACGTCAGTTTTCTCGCTAAATCTAGTGGAGAAACTTAATTTGTTCATGGGTGACGAGACACGAATTCATGTGACATTGTTTTCACCGCTAAATTTAGCGGGGAAACTGCATTGCTGTTGAGGTCACCTGACGTCAGTGTTCCCGCTAAATCTAGTGGAGAAACTAATTTTGTTTATGGGTGACGTGACTCGAAGTCACGTGACGTCGTTTTCGCCGCTAAATTTAGCGGGAAAATTGACGTCGCATGACCTCAGCAGCAATTCAATTTCCCGCTAAATTTAGTGGGGCCGTTACGCCGACGCCTTGAAACCCGGAAACGGCGCCTAAAGCGCAGACCGCATGGCCCGTTTTTCTACACGCGAAAACGCGACGCGCTATGAACGCTCGCGCGGAAGCTGACGCGGGGGCACCCGCATGCAGACAAAGCCAAGCACCGTCGGCCGCGCGTTATCAGCTTTGCCAGATAACAGAATTCCCAACACGCGATGTTAATGTTGACGCAAGTACTACAAAATGAGAATTATATAAGCAAATAACTAAATAAAACGGGTTTGTGTGTTAAAAGAAACACCTTTTCAATTTTTATATGGAAAATAAAAATGCTTTTGAACACCTTGAAATGTGCTGAATACGAAACAGTGGACCGCGCAGGATCACGTGATAGTTCGACCGACCCTCATTGGGCGAGAGCCGCTTCGACGCCTCGGCGCGCGCGTCTTTTTCTGGGTCGGCTAGAAACCAACGCTCACGCGAAAACGCGCGCCCGCGCGCAGGAAATGACGTCAGTTCGACGCCGACGCGCCTGAATCGCAAGCAAAAACGCGCCATGCGGTCTGCGCTTTAGTGCTGCGCTCAAAAACGAGAGAGCTATCGTTATGCGTGTTGCCTCCTATTATGCATTGGACATTGTCATGACTAATATCGCTGTTCTTAGTCCCCTGTTTTATACCTGGGTAATAGCGCATGCTAAAATGCACAAACAAATGTATATGGCGCTTAGTGTCCGGCGTCGTATCTATTTCATATTGTCAGCATTAGTCCTATCTCTAGTCTTCTGTCCTGTGCGAAAATGTCCAAGTTTTTATGCGCTTTAATTCGTGTCTGGTGTGTCCTCTGGGTCCCAGTTATCGAGTAATATTATAACTAGCTAGATATTGATGTTAAAAATAAAGTAGTATTCATACAACTGTAATTTTTAAAATTTTTTCACTGACATTAATTTTGTATCTATCTAGCTAGGCTTCTTTTGTTTTCCTCATTTATATTCTTTTGACCCTCGATGCAGCAACAGATCTCCAGTCAAGGCCCCTAAGTTCTTGGAGAACCCTGGTCTAGAGTTCTCAACAGTATAACCATGTTCAAAGCGATTCCGCATAATCTCGTGAATTGAAAATAACCTATTTTCAGATCAACTGCTAACTCCTTGCGCTCGAATGGACTTTTTCTCCGCGGCACGCGCATGTTTGAACCAATCAGTTGCCGTCGTCCAAACCCTAAGAACTGTAATTTGAATATCTATACTCGAACAAAGAATGGCGTAGATGCTCAGCCTACAGTGGAGTCCCTTCGATAACCCTCGGCCACTGGCGCCCCAAAGTGCGGCGGGAGGCAGCGAGGTCCCCGTGCTGGAGGCGGAACATCTACGCAATTCTTAGCCTTGTCACCGACATCCCCTATGGCTGCTTTGTAAGCTATGAAATCGAGACAACTTCAGCCTTTTATATTCAGGAAGTTGAGCCTCATGACAAGAACATGAGGTTTCCTCGCCCAGGAAAAAATACTGACGTAGATCAATACCCGCTATTCCTTTTCGCCATTTTATAGCAATGTGCCGTTATATTATAATCGCTTTAGTGTTTACGAGAGCGTCGTCAACGTAGCTGACTTTTAAAAATGATATGGTAAAGTGATACACTCTTCATTTTATGAAATAATGCACTGGGCTTACAAGAACGGTTAGCACGCAGCCACAGTTCGCCAATCATGATGCCATATCACACCAAGACGTACACGGTGGTGCAGCAGTGGAGGTTAGGTTGCGTGTTATATGACTCCCATAATTTTCGTTGATTAAACTTTGACAATATATTGATAGGAAAATATCCGACAGGGGGAACTAGACAACCGGTATCTTCCCTTTCGTGCACATATAACACGAACAACCCTTATCTAAGTTACCACGTATCTATTTTAAACGATTTAGCCGCAATGCGACAGACGCGTGCGTCTTTGGTTTCGCTTTGTGCTAACGCCTTGCTCGTCGTGAGCAGTGCTCGATTAAGGCATTTGGGGGCCCTGGGCTAAGGCTGTTATGAGGCCCCTACCGATTGTATTAATAATAACCATAGTGGTGGTAGTGATTACGATGATGGGGGTGGTGGAGGTAACGATGAGGACGGAAATATGTACATTTTTTAACTTGTTAACTCAGGATATGTTTCATCTAACGATTAAAGTCGAACCTTGTTTAGATCCGTATATTGAATGGAATTCAAGTTTTCCTTGGTGACAATGAGACGGATGCGATCGTTGATTAGAATCTACTTTGGAAATAATCAACCGCTTCATCACTCTATAATATAGTAATTTTGAGATACAAAATTATAATTAAATAAACATTGCGGAAAATATTGAGCTTTTTTGTTCACATCCAGCAACTTAACAGGAAAAAACAAAGAACTAAATTGCTTCCGTTTAAATTGTTGAATGCGTTCTTGAACTTGTTTGATTAGAATTACAGCTAGATTAATAGAGTACATGCCCGGGTCAGTTTGCACAAATTTATTATTATGTCGACTTGTAACACAGGTGACCCTCTTGCTAACATGTCTAGTGACATTATTAATCACACACGAATTGAGTTATGCAGCAACCGAAAAGACACCTGCAAAATTATCATTAAAATTTCGCTTCCCCCAAATGACCATGCCTCGGAACTCGACAACTGTCACGAACACCTAAAGCACTTATTCTTGTAATTGTTCCCAATTATTGGAAGTCTAAATAGTTTTTTGGTAATTAATTACTAGTGTGAACAGTGAAGGAAGTGATATAGGCAAGAAAGCAATTTCACTGGTTGAAGCAGTCTTTATCGGGATCAAACTACTTCGTAAACGCTCTTCTAATAACTGAACCCTCGTTTCACAAAAAACACACACTTCTACATTTAAACCATAGGAGAAACTGCGTGCGATTTTAAGACATCAACCACTGTCGTTCGAGGATCTTTACATTTAAAGAATTTATCATGAGAACAGAGAATATATTTTCTTGTTGTAGCTACACGCTGCCTTTTTGAATGTGAAAAATGTTTTGATCAAATTTGTGGTAATCTTGTTCTTTTTAAATGCAGTAATTTAGACGTCAGCGGCCATTTTGATGTATGACTCAAAGTTAAAAAAAATAAAAGCTTATACCTCAAAGGTTGGTGAAACGATTGCAGTATTCGTATCAGTCGCTGGAAGTAAGAGTGTTCAGTTGCACTGGTATACCAGGCACCGACTCTATATCTCATGGTTGCAGTCAGTACAAATCAAAAACTGTTGAGGGGCGTCTCAGGAGCAAGAGCCGGCCCCTTGAAACGCCTGTTTGTTGGTGGTCATAGAGACGGTGTCCGGATGATTTACGGGCACCTTTTTGCTTGTTCAAAACGTATTGTTCTGGAACAAGGTATAAACTCCAGATTGAGTTTCGCGAAAAGGTTTAAAACAACATGTGTGAACCATCTGTGTTGCTCGAGTAGTCTTCGGCGACGCTTGCTAAACTTCCTGCCCACCATTGTCCGCAAAACACGCCAAGGGGCAAGGCATGTAGTTGGGCTAGTTGGTGGTACATACTGTTTGGAGGGAACAGCGCAAAAAGGACGTAGGACGAGGTCGAAGAAACACACAGACAGCGCCCTGTCTGTGTGTTTCTTCGACCTCGTCCTACGTCCTTTTTGCGCTGTTCTCTCCAAACAGTACGCCAAGGGGGCCTAAGAACAAAAGAAAGCCCCATGACCGTCCTTCCATCGAGTTTCAATTAGAAAACACTCCATTTAACAAGGGGCATAGGAGGTCGTGTTACGTTTTGTTGTTCTGGAACGCTCTTGTACAACGAGCTCACAAACGCCAGCTTGTCTAGAGGTGCAAACTTTATGACATCCTTCTACCCCTCTTGAAAAAAAAAAAAAAGATTTGGCGCTTTGGTGTGTTTCTTCTGCTCTCTGTCTGAGCTTTCTTAAGTAAAATAAGACTAACAATTTAAAATTTCCAGGGGCCATCATGGGGCCCCCTGACAGCCTGGGGCCCAGGGCTGCAGCCCCCTTAGCCCGTATCTTAATCCGGCCTTGGTCGTGAGAGGCTGCAATGCGAGCTGTCGCGAACGTTGACGTGAGGGTGCGGCGTGAGTCCACCGGTGCTGACGTTTGCCGGGGGGGGGGGGGGGGGGGGGGGCGCTTGTCTTCTAGATGGTATTAATTCCTTTAGCCCCGACTAGCCACGAAAGCGCCTTACTCACCCGGTCGCGAGAGGGAGGCCGTGTTGGGCGTGACGTAGCCGATGAGCCCCACTTCGAGGCCCCCGCGTGTCACAGTCATGGAGGGCCTGAGCGGCATGTCCCTGAGCAGCGGCTCTCCGGAGAAGTCCACGTTGCAGCCCAGGATGGGCACCGTGCTGTTGCGCACCAGGTCCGCCATCCCCTCGGCGCCCTTGTCGAACTCGTGGTTGCCCAGCGTCTGCATGCGCCCAGAGCCTGGCATTGGATTCTCGCTCCCTCTTGGGAATCGAGGAAAACCTGACGGTGGCTCAGCGAGGACAAGAACTCAAGCGATGGTCACACTGCTAATGCAACATGCACACACCCATACGACAGTCCTCTCCCATTTTCATACTGTCTGAAGACATGATTCGCTTTGATTTTTCTGGTGATTCTAAGCTGGTAAAGGGGGCGATCGCTACATCAGGCATACGATCTTCATCGTTGAAGCCATGCTGACGTAAATATGAGAACAGCCTACGTATATAAGTGTCCAGGCTGACCTCATTTGGTTTCTCTGTGACGACAGTTCTCGAAGTGGCTGAGTCTCTGTTAAAAGTTGTCAGGGAGAAAAGGTATAAGAAACCGAGAGGAAGAAGTGGGAATGACAGCAAGACTCTTGGCTCCTTAAGTGTCTGTTTGGACATTTTGGGCTATTTTAAGGGTTAAAGTGTGAGACTCCGGGTTAAAGTGAGACCCCGGGTTAAAGTGTGAGACTCCCACGAGTAAGGTTTTTTCACTTCTGTTTTTTACTTACAGCTTACTCTTGATCCATCTTACATCTGTTTGTCTTATGAACCACGGTCAGAGAAGGGGATAATGCCATATGATTCGGCGCATTTCAAGCTGGTGAAGCGGGCGATCGAAATTGGATGGGACTGTAGTAAGATTTCGGACAGAGTTGGTTGTCTTTATGTGAGGAAACGTTCTGTTGAAAGGATTAAATCCTAGCTAAATGTTTAGGGGTCGAATCACCACTAAGGTTAGGCACAAACCAATATCGAGACCGGTGCTAGAAATATGTTCACGTCCTTCCCCACCAAGTCAACCGTCCCGCCAACAACTACAATGTGCCGGTGGTATTTTCGGCACCGCGGAAGTTATATCGGCTGTGCACAGTCGTTAACCCAGGCGGATCCCGTGACTTTCGATGTGATGTCAACCAACGCGCGCCCCTCATACCACGTGCCACTGGTGCTGTGTAAATGCCCCACATTTGTGCTAGAGTGTACATTGCTCAGACGGGGAAATGTGCGAACATGAGAGCGAGAGAGCATTCTCTTTCTCTCCGTTCCTTCCCCGCATGCCAACTTGTGGTACATTGCAGGAGGTGAGGCTGTGTCCCTTCGTTCAATGATTCGACGACCTCGGCGTGTAACAGAAATAAAACTTCCATGAAAACCGATTCGGCTTTATTTCTTTTATAGATAGGGGCAGACCAATGTGTCAGCGCCGTCGGTATTCCGGGTGGGTACGATGTTTGTTTATTAAAAATTGTTAAATTTATTTTTATTTTTACTTATTTATTTATATCTTTCCTACAGCGCGGCGGAGGGCATTACAATAGGAGAAGTCACAATACAATAAAAAAAGGATTTTTAACGTACCACAGGTCATCAAGACACATAAGTGTCTTGATGACCTATGGTGTGTTAAAAGCGCTGTGACAAAAATACACTGATTCTGATTCTGATTCTGAAGTACGCTAAGTAATATACAAAATCGCACACGCATATAAACATACATAGAAAAGAAACAACCTTAGTCTGCATGGAAAGAAACACAAATGCGTTGATAATATATGTACACTCAAATATATTGTTCAGAGACAATGCTCGAGTTGCGAAAAAAAACGAATCTGGACTTAGCAAGGAAGCAATCTCGCTTGGCAAGCTGTTCCATTGTTTTATCGTTCGTCGGAAGAAAGAGTTACGAAACAAATCCGACTTTGACGTGTACTCCCGAACTTTTTGGTCATGATCTACTCTGCGCGATACATGAAAGGGCTCAAACAGGTAATGTGATCTTTCAATTTTAGATAAACCATAAAAAATACTCTGAACACATTTTAGGCTCAAATACTTACGCCTAACTGCAAGTGATCTCCATTGTAAATCCTTTTTTATTGCGGAGACACTGCTACGAAAGTTGCAATTATTTGTCACAACTCTAGCAGCACGGTTTTGAATTCTTTCAATTTTATCAATGAGATACTGTTGAGATGGATCCATACAAGGCAAGCATATATCTCGAGAATGGGCTTCACACACAAAAATAGAGAGTCTGTTTGAGGGATGGTGGAGTGCGCGAGAAGTTTCTCCTTAGAAAATCCAGCGTTCTACTAGCTTTCCCTGTTACGTAGTTCACATGTAAAAGCCATCTCAAATCGTTAGAAAAAATTACCCCCAAGTATTTAGCTTCTTTTTTAACGAGTAAAGTTTCTCCGTATAAAGTGTACGTTGACTGGAGAAGGTTGCGTTTTCTTGTGAACCTTACATGGCAAGGTCTGCGTAAAAATGATATGGCGCGGAAGGAGTCTTGTTATGGGTTATGTTATGGCCTCCTTTTTGCATTCCTTCCCTTCTGTTTGAATTTCTGGTTTTCTGGGAAATAAACCTTCAATTTATAGTCAGCGCTCTGTCTTTGCACTTTCTGGCTCTTGTACTTCGTCAAATTTGCACTGTTCTTACCATGTAAGGTAGTCCAAGACGCTGTAAGTGATTTTTCTAAGCTATATTGCTCCTTAGTGGTTTCGGTCTCGATTGCTTGTAGTCCATAGGAGTATTGCGTTCTTTACGCCCCAACTATATCCAGTGCTTCTAAATTTGCCTACCAAGGCGAAATTTGGCGTCCGAATCGGCAATGCTTCTGGGATAGAACGTACGTTGCCGGCACGATAAAGAAGTGTACAGACCATGGCGTCGTGTTTGAGGTAGTTGACGGCTTCGACGACGATCTCGGCGCCGAGCAAGTAGTACCACAGGCTGCCCTGGTAGTAGTCGCCCGTGTTGAGAAACAAGACGTTCCCTCCCTTTTTCCGAACTTCGTTCACCTGTGAAGAAAGCAACCGCCGAGATAAGGGACAATAGGGACTAGACAGGTAAGTCTGACTGCGTAATAAATTACGTCGATAGCTGGTATGTGACCTAACGAGATTTTTCGTCGTTGGTCTTCATACACTTTAAATAAATAAAACAAATTCTTAGTTTGTATTTGTCCTTAGCCCAGACTGCAGGGAAGTTTCAAAATAAATTAACGACAATCCCACCACAAAGTCAAAGGAGGGCTTGCCTAGTTGTTCCTGCTGTATGACACTTTAATCGTGGGAAGTAAAATAAAAAAAATCATATGTATCCGTGAACCCGCTTCATGGCATCTTTTGCTTATTTTGTCAGTAATATTTACTCGCTTTTCTTAGTCAGAGAAGACTCTTAATCGAAATTCCCTTCTGAATAGTCGTCTTAGTGCCGTTTCGTTTTCTTTTTTTTTTTTCTTTTATTAACTAATCTCGAATCGTGCGATTTTGGCGTCAAAGAAAACTCTACGCTCCATGTCGAGTCGTCAAGTCACAACGACTCGGAGCAGTTCTTTGTCGCGTACTTACATGCAAAAGTGGATTGAACACAGAACACCGCGGCTTCGAGCCTGCGGCACGAGACGTAGTTCAACCGCAATCATAGCTCTTTTTGTGTTTAGCACGGAAACTGAGCTTGACCCTGAAACACGAACTTTCGAAAGACTTTAATGGCACGAACTTGTCTCGTCCTTCGTTTCATTTATGATTCCGTGCCACCTTCAAGAACTCGGGAAAAAAGTTAGCAAAATGCATGTGCTACGTCTTAGGCTTCTAGAAGAAATAAAATCGTTTTCAAGAAGTGTCGCTCCCGACAGACCATGCTTATTCGGCACGGAGCTGGACGTCGCGGAACTTCTGGCCTCGAGCTCGAGAGAGGGCTGAGTTGCGAAAAGTACACAATATGCCTTCCTCTTTCATAGGAAGGCCGATTGAAACGCCTGGGCTTTCAGTAGATAACGTTTTTGTGTGCTTTTACGATGCCCCGAACATGCTCGACTGCATAACGAAAAAACGTGATAGTGAACAAATTGGGCGTGTCGACCGTTCTGCTATATAATTAAATTTTTTTTCTTTATTTTTTTTTTATCTGCGAAAAACCTTTCGCACAGGTCCCTACTGCTTGGGAAATTATCTCCTCGTCAAATTAGAATTAAAAATTGGTCGAGAATAAAGTTAAAATTAAATGTCACAAAACAAACCACGAAATATACTCCGAAAATGGAAAACCGATATCATGTAACTCACGTTTTTTTTGTTTTTGTTTTTAATTTTAGGTGCAATGTTTTAAGGTGTTTTCAATTTAATTATCCCCGCCGACTATCAGCATTGCCTATGTTGAGGGCAAGAACCCTAAAAGCCCTTTTTACGGCTGGGCTGATTTTATTGGCTGCTGTCCTCCTCGAAATAAACCCTTAAACCACCTTGGCGGCAGTAGCCGCTATCAGAAGTAATAATAACCAAATATGAGCGTGCGTGCAATACTCGTCTTTCTTTCTATATGTATTTTAAAATGCCGTCCGAGAAGCCTCCATCATGTAGTGGTCTTATTGAATATAATTAGGGCATGTTTACTAATATGTAAAAATACCCCTGGGGCCCGACAGAGCTCTCGTAGTTCAGTTCCACGAACATACGGTACCTCTGAAGGGTCCATTTTCTGTGCATTCTGAGCATTCAGGATTCAGCATTAAATTCCAGACTTGGCCTCGATCACCTATGCAATAAGCGCAAAGTATCACACCTAAATTTTATCCATCCAATGTATTATTGTAATTCATACATTAAAAGTGAACTTTTACTTCCTCCGCAACGAATCTTTCCACAGCACGACCACCAGCACAAAATCAGCCTAGACTTACGTCGCACGAAAGAGTTTTCCGAATCTCCCTTGGTGTTGGACATTCATGAATGGAATAAGTTCCCTGAAAATGCTGTAAGCACACGAAATTTTTCTCTGTTTAGAAGTGGATTGGGGGAATTATTGAAGTCCTTTTGATTTTATCGGCTCCTTTCGCGTGTAGCTGTGAATAAGTTTGCGCGATCTGTCACATACTGGTTTTTGTGCCATGTGTTCTTCACTTTTCTGCTACCATCTTTCAGTGTATTTTATGATCTCCTCATGTAATGCCTTCGGGTGCTTTGAGGGTAAAATAAATGAAATAAAATGAAATACGGTACAATGCAGAAACAAAACTTTTACTTAATACGGCTTGGACTTTTACTCGGATCTTCGGGTCTCACGACCCAAAGATCCGAGTAAAAGTCCAAGCCGATAAAGAAAATTTAAAATATAAGTCACTACTTATGGCCCGTTTTGTAAGGAACACTACACTATACACCGTTTCACTCTTAGTGCGAGCGTATCAAAAGCTATACAGGAGCGAGCTTCTGGCTTTCAGCATCCCTGCAAAGCATGACTGCTCGTACAGTGCTAGGATCGTGTAGGAAAAAGTGCTCGCGCTTGTAGCTTCGGCTTCGCATGCACATTAGGAGAAACAAACTATTATTTTTTAGCTATTATAATGTATTTAAAATGCTAACTTGGATTTTTCATGTCAGCGTAGAAAAAGCCATTATATTCATTTATCCGCAACACAAGCTTCTTATCTAAATGAAAGTTAGTGGGTTCCACGTGTGGTGCTAACTAACCGCCAGGTGAATCCGGGAGAGTTGAAGCGTGAAGATTTGTGCAAACAAATATATTTGAAACATATACATTTTGTTCCAGTTTGACCCTTCATTCGTTTCCCTCTTTTTTTTTTTTTGTCACAGCACTTTTCCTTCTTTTTCCCACAGACCGTCTAAATAGTCTGCTACAAACTACTAAAAATTTAAGGGGTCTATCCAAGGTTGCTGCCGGCAATCGGGCTCAGTATGTTTGGCATATTAAAATACATTAGTTGAATATTATGCAGCGTGCTTAATGTTAATTCGAACACGCTCGGTGGGCACTAGATGAGAGGATAATTGTCATGGGAGGTAGGTTAATTAACTTCTTAGTTATTGGTTAGAGCGCTCGTGTTCGAATTGCAGTATTAACAGAAATTCATATGAGGCCAGACAAAATGTAATCTGTTTTTCGAGCGTAGCTCCTAGGCACCCATTTCCGGGTTGAGCGGTGTCGCTGTCGGCGTAACCGCGCGTTGCATTATAGGACACCCCCATTAAATTTAGCAGAACAATTTCTCTGCTAAAGTGAGCGGCGATATTCCACGCTAAATTTAGAGGGGAAACTCAACCCGCTATATTTAGCGGGAAAATCATCGCTTCATTTCCCGCTAAATTTAGCGGAAACATTTTTGCTAAACTTTCCGCTAAATATAATAGAGAACGAAGGTATATTTATCCGAAGGTAACTTTAATATATGGTTATTTATTCTGGCAGCATACGAAGCGAACAAACACTTACCTGCCCAAACGTACACATCCAATAATTTAAAATGCACTGCACTCTAAAAAATACACATTTTTTTCATGTTTCTAGATACAATTTGTATTCCCCAAGCAAAACTTTTCATAAAACAAAGCAAATTATTAATTTTTGTAACGCGATATAAACGTCGCGAGACACATTTTTAGTTAAAAGCGATTTCGAAATGAGCTATTCCGAGACATCGACCACGAAAAATACGCCTGTTTCGGAATCACTTAAATGGCTTTCAAAACGTCAACAATATTTCACTAAATAATAGCGATATACGCGGTATGTCTAGACAGGGAGTTTTAGAATGACGTACGCAATTTTAGTGCACGCTAGCGCTAAATTTAGCGCTTGCGTTAGCGCACGCTACGCAAGAGAGTTTTAGATTAGCGTTACTCTGCCGCGACGCAAAAACCCAAGCATCTTCCGCTTGCAACGCCACCAAGGTACAGTCACATGTTTTATTTCACACACGAAATGCTGTAACTTGAGAAAAGAAACAATTTTTAACACACACTACAGCGCACTATTGCAAACAACACTCACTCCTTACACACGAAAAACAAAGCAAAAAAAGAAAAAAAGAAAAATAAAGTAAGGAGTGAGTGTTGTTTGCAATAGTGCGCTGTAGTGTGTGTTAAAAATGAGCAACGAAAAGCTGCTATGTTAACAAAAAAACAAACAAGTTTTTTTGATCCAGAGTAACATTTTCGATTTGTTTAAACATGAGAATGCGACGCGAACGGTCGACCGGCCGTGTCCGCTTGCGTCGCCTGGGCAAGAGAGGTGTACTGACCTTCGCACACCGAACCTTCGCTGCCTTCGCCGAGAAATGTTCGCGTGATCGTTGCCAAACCGAGTTCAATGTCGTCCTGTATTAGAAATCGCAGTCACGAGGATGCCGCCGACGTCGCGTTCACGCCGCCGCCAAAGCGGCCACAGCCATGGTCCTGAGAGCCGCCATTTTTTAACTGTGCTCTTCTGTGCTTTACCAACTTCTCATCACGAATCCTCCTTGGAGAAGCGCAGAAAACTCTTTGCGTACTCACGCATTTTCCGAAAAATAGCCCACGCTAATTTAGCGCACGCAATGCGCTAAACGTGGTTAGCGTTCGGCGCATGCGCAGTGCCAACGACGATATTCTTTGCGTACGCAAAGATTTAGCGTGCGCTATTCTAAAACTTCCTATTAACAATATATTTTTTTTTTTTTAGAAATCGCGTGTCCTCTAAAATAATCGGAGTAATTTTCACTACTTTCTAATAAAAAGTGTTTTTCCCTGCACGCGACACCTCAAAAATAAATGACCAGACACCTTTATATTTTATTTGTGCCGTTAGCAATCCCGAAACCGACGCTCCGTATAGAATTATATCTCGAGCTCAGAAATTATATAATTTCAAGCAAGCGTGATTTCATGAAGTGGCGTCGGACCATCTTAACCTCCGGATGGATGGATGGATGGTAAAGGCGTTATCCTTTTTAGCGGGCGGCAGCTTACGCCACCTAGCCTAATATTTCATCATTTATTTTTATTTGTATGAATTTTGTTTT